TCCAAACCGGATATAACGGATTTTTACTTACAACCCAAATTAAGTAGCCAAAAGAATATGGGACAAGACTATATATACATATAAGCTACTATTTACCCAAAAGCAAGATCGATATCTTCAAGTTTCTCGATAAATCTTCAACTCACACAACGGGTTCTTTCTATTTATCCGTCTTCTTTCCTGAGAAAGGTTGCCACTTAAATGGTATGCCAACGCTTAGTGAGTTAAATAGTTAAGTAGTACATATCAATAGCACATGTTCATAAACATACATAATAAACTCTTATCAATAAAAGAGTTCAAGACATCATCCAGATGCAAATCGAGACTTACAAGAGACCGAGTGAACAATTATGTACCGGATGGTAAGATCATAGGATTCCATATTCAAATCACCATAGTATACCATATCATTGATGCTTAATACAACAAGGAGACAGGATCGACAACCAAATATATTCAGCAACGTTAGAATACCAATAAATATCAAGAACCAAGAGATCGAATCGGTATACATAACGAGGACAGTGCATCCCCTCCTCCTTCACCTTCTGGGCTCATGCCAAAGTCTGAATCGGAATCATACATTACGGGAAACCTCGTACTGCCCGCCTTCCTCTACCGGGTATGTGCCAAAGTTCCCTACTCATTGCTCTTCCTCCTTTTTGAGCAATGAGTATTCACAACCGCAGAAAGTCTCACCCGTCCAACCCGTGATCTTGACTTTGCCATAAACTTCCGTCGTGATACACGAAGTAGTACCCGTACTATGGCGTACAATTCAAGAACAAAACAAACAAGTCCGGATCCGGAAATCAAACCGATGTACCGAGATAGTAATATGGAATCGACTCAAGAGACAGAATCAAAGACAAATCAAGATCGTGTGACTCCATTCAAGACCAAAAACATTCATATGAAATATATATGTTCAAATCAATATGTAACAATTAACTATATAACTCACCGGGCAACCGTATAATACCGAAAAGCTCCGAATGAGCTCACAAAGCAAGTCCAATCTWYCACAMTTAGATTGCTTCCAAAGTATCAAAACATGTCCTAATTACACCCGGAGTAAATGTACAAAATCTCGTAAGCAATCAATATAAGAAACTCATGATATACACATATACTATTTGAACATTTTACCTAAATTTCTATGTACAGCTGCTGCATGCAGAACTTTTTTCCCATTGTAAGCTTGAATTCATGCCTTGATCATAAAATAAGAAATAAATTAGACTCAAATATCTAACTAAGGAAATTGGCCTCACCTCATTTGGAATTTTCTACGATTTTATACAGATTTTCAAACTCTACACACTTTCAATGCATTCTTAAGTCAACATTCTCATTTTGAAACATTTTTCTCAAACCATTTCGATTCCAAACCATTCCAAATTCTGAATCTCAACTTAATATAACATATTTGACATAAACAACCAAAATCCAACCTTTATTTTATCATTTATTTTATCTCCCAAATCTTTGACTTAATCAGGTCAAAGTTCATATGTTGAACTTGCATAAATGTTGATAATCTYTTGAATCTAATGATCATTTCAAGCCATAAACACTAAAAAGCACTCATTTTATACACTTAAGATCAAACMYATWTGAAAYCCTAACTCTATCTCAACATGCAATCCATAAAACAAGAATGTCAACCAAGAACAAGTGCAAAAATAGATTATACCTTACTTGATGATCAAATCCTTCCAAGATCTTGTAGTTCCTCTTTGATTTGAGTTGAATCAAGCCTATGTGTGTGAAAATTACACCTCTAGTGTGTGTGTGAGTTCTGGACTTAGATGACATGAAAAATGGGCCAAAAATCCAATTTATAATGCTAAAACTCGAGTTGGGCCGAGTTAATCCGGCTAGGTACCCATTTTGACCATCAACACTTAAATTATTCATAACTTTTCGCTCGGAGCTCCGTTTTCTATGAGGTTTTCGCCTACACGTTCATAAAGAGATAATCTATAACATCTAAAAAAAATATTCCAAAAAATATCTCCCAAGAAAATCAGTTTTACGTATCTATTTGATGTAAAATTTTCCAAATCCTCTAATATACTCCTAAGAAGTATAATTCTAAAATTTCAAACCTAAACTTCCACTAAATCATAAGTTCTATTTAACCTAATAATTAAATATACTAAGCAAATAATTGGGCAAATTAGAAATTGGATGTTACAGGACTCCTCAGCAAAATGGGGTCGCTAAAAGGAGAAATCGAACAATCATTGAGGCTGCTCGATCAATGCTCAGCGAATCCCATCTCCCTACTTAATTCTAGGCTGAAGCTGTCAACACCGCTTGTTTCACTCAAAATCGATCGCTAATCGTGAAAAGATTCAAGAAGACAGCCTATGAACTTTTTCATGGAAGAAAGCCTTTTATAAGTTTTCTTCATATATTTGGTTGTACTTGTTTTATTCTCAACAATCGCGACCAACTTGGAAAGTTCGATCCCAAAGCTGATGAAGGAATCTTTCTTGGATATTCTTCAGTATCCAAAGCCTTCAGAGTATTCAATAAACGAAGACAGATGATAGAAGAATCTATTCATGTCACCTTTGACGAATCTCAATCAGCTAATTCAAGACCCATCTTAAATGATGAGGATGAATTAGAAAACTAGATGTTCTCTCACTATGGACAATCTGAAGCTTGCTATAGTGCTCCTCTCAACGCTGAATCCCCTAAAGCTGAAGATGATCCACTTATCATTCCAGTTACAACTAGTCACTCCAAGCATCTTCTTCAGAGATCGCTGTCGTGCCCATTAGCTGTATTCCTCCTTCTACTTCAAACGCTGATCAGTTAGTGAATGAAATGCCTTCAGTATCTGAACCTATTTCAGTCGCTGAATCTGAGGCTGCTTTGGCGATACTGCAACTGAAGCCTCATCTTCGGTTCCTGAACTCACCTACTCAGATGAAATTCCTCTACCGGCTCAGCGATGGTCAAAAGACCATCCAAATCATCAAATTCTTGGTGATCCAGATGCAGGTATCAAGACTCGTCGTGGTCTAGGTAATATCTGTCTCTTTATCAACTTTCTTTCTTTAGTTGAGCCCAGGAAAATCAATGATGCTATCTCTGACCCTTGTTGGAACCCAGATACTCTTAATTTACAGAAAACACAGTTTATGAATAATAATAATGAAAACAAACAGTATACTACAGATGATTAATCGAAATATTCAAAGTGTAAATAAGAACAATGAAAATACTTGAATATGTTGAATGCTTTTATTTGATGAATGTAAAGAACAATCAAATAAAACGTAATCTCACAATAAACTGGTATAGTATAAGTCAGCACTCTCAGGTAATTTGAACCTGAGGAGGAAGCCTCCTTATATACACCCTGGTCTAACAACTATGCTATAAAATAGGCTTGAAACTCTGAGTTAACGAGTCTGCATCCTTATCTTTGACTTCCCTTGAAAAGCGGAGCAGACTTGGTCAAACCGCCTCAAATCAGTTAGACGCTTGCGAGAATGTCTAGACTTGCACACGCGTTCCATGGAGAATGTGACCAAAAGCTCTGCATGAACTATACAGAAGCTCTGCATGTACTATGCAGAGGTTCTGCATATGCAGAGGCTCTGCATGTACTATGTAGAGGCTCTGGGTCTTGGAGTTGTAGCATTGTGTCAAGCGCTTATGCTTTTTGGCGCATAAGGCTTCATCGTCCACGGGGATAGAGCACGGGCTTTATATGAATGGAACCTTCACTCGTTGAGTAAGAACTCTGGTCCTTGATCTTCTACATGAGAGCTCTTATTCCAGACCACTTCAACAGACTAAGTCCTATTGACTAGAGTAAGAGACTTCTTACTTACACTTTCACAGGGTGGGGTCTAACAATCTCCCCGTAAGTGTAAATAAGGCAGGCTCTTACTTGAATTACAAAACAGAAAGTCTAATCGAAGCCAGAGGTTAAAAGAAACCTCTGTTTTACATTCACTATCTAAAAAGTAAAATACGATTGAATGAAAATTACATTGACTTAAAGATAGAGAAAAAAAACTTACAAAAGATAAGGTCTAAATGTTTTGAAGTCTAATGAACTTCCTAAGAAGTTCACGAAACTCTAGCATGTTGTGAATTGACCTTAGGATGAGTTTTTCTCGCTCTTTAGCTCTAGATGAGGTATCTCTGCTCCTGACTAAGTTGTCTCTGATGTAGCGCATAGTAGAGTTAGAATATTTGTAGTTTCGGCCATCTCAAAAAAGGATCTTCCTTCCTTGTGCATTTTGAAAGACGACTCCCACCTCTGGTTCCACCAACACAGTCCAAAAAGGAATACTATTGACGCCCTGTAGATCTTCGTTTGGTGTAGCAACAGGCAATTGATCCACTCTAAGGTTCAGAGCTAGTTGAAAATCAAACTTGCATATAAAGTCGAGTAGGTCTGTCATTGTTTGTCGTATAGCAAAGTTGGCCATAACATATTTAAGCCCCTTCTCTTTCTTGTGGTTTGTGAAGTAATACAGAGATAGAAGATCCCACGGATTCAGATTTATAAGGTCACAATCTATAAACCTGTAGATTTGCCTGCGAGACCTCTCCACCGTATACTCATGGAAGACGATCTGGTTATGCACGAAGGTGCGTTTCTTAATGTCGAGGACTTGCTTGATTCCATCGATGAAGTGGACTGTAGAGATAGGCTGTGTGTAGTGATTTAGGAACCTCTGCCTGATATTCTCTTGAACCATTGGATGAAGACTGATCTTGTTGACCGGTGTCTCTTCTCGCAGGTTGTAGAGAAATTGGTAGATATCCTTGCTGTCTGCCTTGTTTTTTATTGGCTTGTCTGGGGGCGTAGGCGTAAACATTGCGTCCATGCTCTCCTTGATCTTTTGAACTCGATCAGCGGGATGCTTTCTTTTTGGCCTACTGCTTGCGCCTTCCTCTTCTGCTCTTTTAGGTTTGACAGAGACCCTCTGCCTCATAGACGGAGTGACTACCCTGGTCCCTTAAGCAGGGACCCTATCTCTATGTGTGTTCTTTGGTGGTGGAGGAGCAGCAATTGTAATGTTTTCAAGAGGTATGGCAACAAAAATGGCCAAGAGAGTTGGATCGGCCACATTCACTGCTACCACATCTTCTTCTCGTCCTCTTGTTGGAGAAGCTGTGTCCATGGCATATTCGATTGAGGAAGACAGAGCCAGTTCTGAATCAGATGAGTCAAAGACGAATAGAAGATCAATCACGTCTTTATTCTTTTGTAGCCCAGCTGACTCTGCTTGGGATGCCATTGGCATCTTTCCCTTTCGTAGCACCTCTGCTTGCTCTGGCACTGGTTAACTTGGTTCCCTCTGCCTTGAAGAATCATGCACTAGCTGGCATGGGGTAGAGGCAGATGGGGCAGCCTATGGAGTAACACTTGGAGCAGCAGACTGTTTCTCCCCCTCTTGACAATTTTGAGGGCTAGACAGGTCTGGGTCCTCATCATCATCAGGTCTTCTTCTTTTGGCCGCCTCGACACATGGAGATGGGTCCATTCTTCTTTTTGGTCGTTACTCCTATGCTTGGGGTAATGACTTGATTTTGTCCTCAAAAAGCTTGAGGAGTTCTTCTGTTGTGTCCCCAAAGCGTTGGATCTCCATGTTCATGCGGTAATTGAAGCCAGCCAACACTTTATTGACTATGCTCCTTCTGTGGCTTTGCTGTTGAAGTCGGATGTAAAGCTCGCCACCTTCTGTAGAAGTCTGTCACCTAGAGCATTCATTGCGCCCTGAGTGACATAATCGACAGGTATGTTGAGAGGGATGATCGCCTGGGCGTCATGAGAAGTGGACACTTCATCCCTCTACATGGATGCTATGGCCCTTTGCAGGGTCTCTGCATTTCATGCCGTCAATTCCTGAAGGGTATCGAGACGAGTGGCATTTATCAAAGATTCATCCCTCAATATTGCTAAGGATGCTTGTATCTCATCCAGAGCAGATGCAGAAGGTGATGGCTCTACACGGGCCATGATGAGTTTTAGCTCTTCCAAGAAGCACAACAAAGATGTGGCAAGGGATTGGAACTCTTCCCTTGTGACATAGGCTGTTTGTGTAACCTCTGGCTCAACACATGGTCCAAATTTAGTCCTTGTTCAAAGGACAGCTTCTTGCTCGACTTGTTGGATGTTGGTCGAGGAAGGATTTCCAGCAGATCCTCGTGGTTCTCCTTGAGGAAAATCCACTACTGCTGTTCTGGCATGAAAAGTATCCAAGGCAGGTTCAAAGCCACCCAGAGGACTCTCCATGAGTGGACAAGAAGGTTGGTCGAGAACCTCCATGTCTTGTGCACCTAATCCTTGCTCTGAACAAGGTGGGGAAACTCTATGTGCAGAGGAAACAAATTCCTCTGTGGGGGATAGTGGCGTGATATCTGGAGACATATCACTTATTCTTTCAAAGGTTACACCCTTTGAGAAGGTGTCCCTGAGGTATGGCTTCCCTTTGGCTTTGATAACCAGAGGCAGATGCGACCTCTGGTTGGTTTGAGGTCTACACCTTTGTTTCAATGACCTCTGTGTCTTGACCATCAGAGTCAGATGATGTGTTTGCACTGGGAGTTGGGGTATCGAATCGTATGTGCCTATTTACCCTAGGCTTCTCTGGCTTGCCTTGAGGCAGAGCAGCTTCTACACCTCCTCCCTCTTCTCCTTCTTCTTCCTCTTCACTCTCCTCACTTTCTTCTTCTTCCTCTTCACTCTCCTCACTTGAAGTATAAGACCTAGTAGCATCATTGAAGTGCTCTTGGTCATCCTCTTGGTCAGAGCTAGAGGATTGTTCCAAGCCTCGATTAGCTTCTTCCTTTGCTCTGAGTCTGGCCTTTTCCTTAAGGCGAGCAATCTCTGCCTGTCGAGCTCTCTCTACTCGTTCTTCCTCTTCGTGTACATGAGCAAGTTCTGCCAGTCCGGCTTGCTCTGCTCGATCTTCCTCATCCTTTTTCTTTCTCTCCCTCTTCATTTCCTTTTTCTTTGCTTCCTCTCTCTTTCTTTGTTTCTCCCTCTCTTTCTCCAATTTCATCGCCTCTTCCTCTGTATGAGGCCTTAAAGTGTCCTCTATTCTCTCTTCCTATTCGGCTACTCCTATGCGTGTTGGGGTTCGAGGCACTGGTTCTAGTGCCTCACGTGCACGTCTGTATGCTTTCCTTACCTCCCTTGTCTTCATATAAGCAAACAGCTTGAGTGGAATAGGTCGTTCAGACATGTAGCCCTCTTTGTTGATGGTAGGCTTGTAGTGGGTAAGCACCTTCACTTTATGCACGGGCAGACGACCTATGTCTATGTTGTTGCCGTCGAGAACAGGCCTTAGGAGAAGACCCAAGAAGCAGGGACGCAACAGAGATGGCAATTCCTTTCCTTTGGCCACCTCTTGGCATTTTTTGGCCACGGCAGCCTTGAACTCTGTGTAGAGTATCAAGGATTAATCCAAGGACAGATCAAAGAAGATGTCGTACAAAATCTGGAGAATGTTCGTGGAGCACATGTCTAAGCTCCCAATCTTCCCTATTAGTGATCAATTGACCAATGTGAACATGGTGTTCCACATTGGGGGAAGGTATTGGCGACGGTATTGGGAAGGGTACTGATAGCTTTGTTGTACTCCAAGAATTTCAGGAGAGCAACGATTTCATCCCCAGATGGGAGAGGGGCATACTCATTAAGCCCTAGGTCCATTTTTGTGGGTATTTGAAAAACGCGGGAAAACAGGGACCTGGAAATTCCAACATTGAAGAGCTCCTTTGAAGACAAGACATAAAAGTCTCCAACAATCCCTCCTGGATATACCTTTCAGGTACAAGGTCATATGTGTTTGTCAAGGCGGGGTTCAGAAAGTGGTGTTGAAGGATATCTATAACTAGGTGGTATTTTTGGTCAAAGTTTTCTAGATAAAGGTGGAGGGCATGGTTATTTGGCTTGATTGGAAGAGGAACCAAGTTTTGATTGGTTTCCTCAACGATTTTCAAGGCAATGGTGTGGTTTTGCGAGTTTTCAGATTCGGAGGACGACATTGTTGCAGGTTCTTGGTGAAAAAGAATGGTTTGGAAAACTAGGGTTTTCAAGAATCAATTCTTGATTCTTAAAATAGATTGAGGAAAGGGTTTGTATGACTTACTTGACGAACGAGATGAAGATTCCTTGACAGATTGTAGTTCTAGATAGTATTTTGAAATCTTGAAGGAGAATCAATGGCGGTTGGAGCGTTGAAGACGACGAGTTCTTTTGTAAATCTTTGTAAGCGTAAAAAAGAAATTAGGAAAAATAAATTGTTTAAATAGGAAAAGAAATAAACACTTGAATGAATGCGCCCCAATTGTTAGAAAAACTGAAGCGGTTTTTCTCATAGCCTGTGGGGGATTGCCACGTGGACTGCTAGCTGCAAGTGGCACCTCCCGGGTTTGAAAAGTTAAGCATACAGGTGGTGACGCTTAGTTAAATGACAGGTACTTAAAAATATTTAAAAAAAATAAGAACCGTACGCCTTCTTAATAAAATAATATATTTTAAATTTTCAAAACAAATTTAACAAGTGTATATACTCTGGTTTGTGTAAAAATAACAACCATTAGACAGAAGCTATGTATTGGAGTACAGAGTTGCTGTGATTGGATTGCTTAAAGAATTTGAAAAGAATCTAGAGTACTACTGGAAGAGAAAGATAACATACCTTAGGATCTCATACAGAGACTCATGATTGGACTATACATGTCCTCTGCGTAGAAAACTTGCTATGTTTAGAGGCAGAGGTCTGTCTAGTACATAAAGAGGCTCTGTCCTATAATCATAGAAATTTTGAAGGAGAGGCTCTGTATAGTACATACAGAGGCTCTGTGTGATTATGATCTAACGCTCCCCCTCGACTTGAGCTCGGCTAATCTGCTCCCTCTTGAACTATGCTTGGATCATATATGATAAGTATTGCACAAGAGTATTGCACAAGCATGACGAACAAGGTACAAAGGCTATGTATGTACTATACAGAGCCTCTGTATGTACTGTATCACAAGACAACTTGACTTGAGCAAGAGGCTCTGCATGTACTATGCAAAGGCTCTGTCTCATGGATCAATACTTTAAAACAGAAACAAAAGTACGCATAAGGGATACAGAGGCTCTGTCTTAGTTGGAAAGATTTAGCATACCCAACTTGCTAACCAAAAAGTTAAATCTCTTTTCATCAAGAGCCTTTGTAAATATGTCAGCAAGTTGTAAATCTGTACTAACAAAAAACATTTCAATCGTACCTTTCTCTACATGGTCCTTGATGAAATGGTAGCGAAAGTCGATGTGCTTTGTTTTTGAATGTTGCACAGGTTTGGCTGTGATTGCGATAGCACTTTCTGAGTCACACAGAATTGGAATCTTGTCAAACTCAATGCCATAGTCTTTCAGTTGAGTTTTCATCCATATCACTTGGGAACAGCAACTGGCTGCAGCTACATATTTTGCTTTGGCTGTGGAAGTAGAGACGCAGTTCTGCTTCTTTGAGGTCCAACTTATGAGCTTGTCTCTTAGTAATTGGCAGCTCCCTAATGTACTCTTTTGATCAAGTTTGCATCCTGCATGATCAGAATCTGTGTACGTAATAAGATCAAAACCAGAATACTTTAGATACCAAAGACCCATAAATTGAGTTCCTTTAAGGTATGTAAAGATTCTTTTCACAGCTGAAAGGTGAGATTCCTTAGGGTTTGCTTGATATCTAGCAAAGAGACACGTAGCAAACATGATGTCTGGTCTACTAGCCGTGAGGTACAATAGTGATCCAATCATTCCACGGTAAGTCTTAACATCCACCGGTTTTCCAGATGGATTTGTGTCAAGCTTAGTTCCCGTTGCGATTGGGGTTCTCATTGTGGAAGAGTTATGGAGTTGGTATTTCTTTAATATGTCAGAGAAATACTTAGCTTGGCTAATAAAAATACCGTCCTCCCTCTGTTTTACTTGCAAACCGAGGAAGAATGTTAATTATCCCATCATGCTCATTTCAAACTCGCTCTTCATCAACGCAAAGAACTTATCATAGTGCCTCTGGTTTGTTGAACCAAGATTATGTCGTCCACGTAGATCTATACTAAAAGCATCTCACCTTTATACCTCTTAATGAACAAAGTAGTATCGATTTTACCTTTTTCAAAACCATTTGACAAGAGAAAAGATGAGAGACGTTCATACAAGGCTCGAGGTGCTTGTTTAAGTCCATACAGAGCTTTGTCCAAGAAATGGACGTACTCTGGATGTGTGGAGCTTTCAAACCCCAGAGGTTGTTGAACGTAGACTTCCTCCTTCAGCTTGCCATTCAAGAAGGCTGACTTAACATCCATTTGGTAGACTCGAAATCCCTTATGAGCAGAGAAGGCTAAGAACAAGCGTATAGCTTCTAGCCCTGCTATTGGCGCAAAGGTCTCGTCATAGTCTATGCCTTCTTCCTTGCAATAGCCTTTTGCTACGAGCCTAGCTTTATTCCTCACAACGATCCCATCCTCATCTTTCTTGTTCCTTAAAACCCATTCACAGCTAATTGCAATTTTATCCTTTGGTAAAGGTACAAGAGTCCATACCTTATTCCTTTCGAATTGTTGGAGCTCTTCTTGCATGGCGTCAACCCAACTCGGGTCTTGTAGGGATTCATGGACTTTCTTAGGCTCTACCATGCTTAGAAAGTTTACAAATAAACATTCATTAGCCATGGCAACCCTTGTCTTTACAACATTTGAAGGTTCACCAATGATCTGGTGAAGAGGATGATCCTTTGTCCATCTTGTTGCTGGGACTGATACAGAGGTTGGGGACATTTGATCACGTTCCATAGGCATATTTGGCATGGCTCATTGATGGTGCAGAACCAGAGGCATTGTGCTCTAGCTCTATGGAACTAGGCTCTGATGCAGAGCTTGTTTGCTCTGGTTGTGGATTCGCATGATCCCTAGAGGAAGCAGAGGTCTGTGAAGGACCAGAGTCAGATGTACTTGTAGTTTGTGGTTCTTCACTTACACGCGCAAATTCATCTCTTGGTGCACGTACAGAGATGTCTTCATCACCATAGAAGTCTTTAAATAATATCTTGAGTTCCAATTCCCTTGACTTCATTTGAGAATTGGAAGTGTGCTTGTTAAGCTCGAGTCCAGAGCTGAGGTACTCTGAAGTCACTTGTTCCTTATCGTCGAACGAAACATTGATGCTTTCCATGACAGCCTTGGTTCGTTGATTGAAGACTCTGTATGCCTTGGCTTTTGTGGAGTAACCAAGGAACTTTCCTTCATCGGCCTTCTTATCAAATTTACCAAGTTGATCACGATCATTCCGAATGAAGCATTTGCAACCAAAGACATGTAAAAATTTAACATTAGGTTTTCTTTGGTTGATTAATTCATAAGTCGTCTTCATATGCCTCTTTACCACCATTGCCCAAAAATGGGTTAGAAGGCCAGAGCTTGCTAGCATTGTCCTTGCTGCTTCGACCAGAGTACGATTCTTTCTTTCTACAACACCATTTTGTTGTGGTGTTCTTGCTGCAGAGAAGTTTTGAGTTATGCCCTCCTTGTCTAAGTACGCATCAATCTTTGCGTTCTTAAACTCTGTTCCATAATCACTTCTCAACTTTTGAATTTTTCTTTGTAGAAGAACTTGAAACTTGGTCATCAGCTTGATAAGTAGCTCTAGAACATTTGATTTCTGTCTTACAAACTCAATCCAAGTATATCGTGAGTATTCATCAATTAAGACTAGGACATACTTCTTACCCAACAAGCTCTACACAGAGATTGGACCACAAAGATCCACATGAAGCATATGCAGAGGTCTGACGCAGGACAAATCTGTCTTTGTTTTGTGGGATGCTCTTTTGAGCTTTCGCATTTCACATGCAGAACAGAGATGGTCCTTTTCGAACTTTATGGCAGGAAGTCCGTCAACCAGATTATTCTTCACAAGCTTCTCTATATTCTGGAAATTTAAATGAGACAGCTTGTGATGCCAGAGCCAAGCTTCTTCACACTTATAAGACACTAGACAGAGAGTCTC